TAGAAAATTTTACTACTAACAGAGATACAAAAGTGGGCGGTAGGTATAAAAAGGTTGACTACCCCTGATCTACACTACACTAAATTGGATTAATATCTTGGGTTTGGGAGGGTTTGTCCTCGATTTATATTTTGATACATGTTATTTATGATAGATATATCATAAGTGCAAAAATATGTGAGAATACAATTAGATGTATGCTTTTTTTTAAAGGGAGAAACCAATGTCCCAAATTTACCGTATTTTTCGGAGTATAAGATGCACCGGAGTATAAGATGCACCAAGGTTTTGAAGAGGCAAATTAAAAAAACTCTGCAAACCTCCCCCAAACGCCTCGTTTTTTTGTGAAAACAGGCCCATTTCCTCCCCCAAACGCATGAATAGCCTTTAGCGGGCTTACAGAATGCTCTGGGGGGCAAAAATGAGCCAAAAATGGCCCATTTTTCACAAAAACGGCCCCATTTTTCATTTTAAAAAGGGCATGGATAGCCTTTAGGAAGCTTATAGAGTGCTCCTGGGGGTTGGGGGGGTTAAAATTGAGCAAAAAACAGGCTGTTTTTTGTTCATTTCTGCCCTCCCCAGCCCCCAGGAGTTCTCTAAAAGCTTCCTACAAGCTATACACTGCCATTTTGGTAAAGGGGCGGGGCTTCAGGAGTCAAAAAATGCTGTATTCAGTGTATAAGACGCACCCAGATATTTAGCCTCTTTTTTGAGGGAAAAAGGTACTTCTTATACGCCAAAAAATTATTATTATGGTAAATTATTATTTCTGAATTATATAGTTCATTTGCATTTAATATGAGGCAAAAGGGTACAAGAATAGCAATTAAAACTGGACTACATTCATTTACATCAGATATTCTGTTCAATCTAGCAAGATTCAGAATGCTTAATGCCAAATACCCTTATCCTCTGTTTGTGGGTATATTTGCTTTGAGAACATTTTAATCCACTTTACATTATTAGCAGATCACTTTATTCTCTCCTCCCTTCCCCAACAATAATGTTGGCAGATGAATGTACAGTTGTCCTGCAATCCTGCCAGCTTCTCATTTTCCCTACAAGCAGCAAAATGCTTAAGAGTTTGTTGGAAAACTACAAAACATATTTTCGGCACAGGGTGGCTCAGATAAGGCTGCTTGAAAGATCAATCTGAAGCCAACAGCCATTTCAAATGCATTTTGTTAAGTGCTTTTAATGGAAGGTAGCAGCACACCACAGGCCACGTTCTCAGATGGCATAAGAGGTGTAGGCCCTCCATGACATTAATGGGCTGAATGCTGACTGGCTACTGCTTGAACTTGAGAAATGTCATTAATTGTACATTAGCAAGCAGCAAGGCCTTGTTTGCACCGAGTACATCTGAAAGTATTATGACAACCATGTAACACACATTGAGGAAGTAGCTGCATCCACTTCCAGCTTGTTAGAGAAAATATTCTACCATGTTGCTTTCAACAGTCTTTACAATGGAATTACAATTAAATCTTAAAGATCACCAGTCTATATGAACAGGAAATGCTGGAAGGCAAAATAGAAAAGACCCTTAGTACTTAGCTTGTAAGCTTTTATAAAGAAGTTTTAGCCAGGTAATTATAAACTAAATATGGGACTGGATGGAGCTGGTCTGATCAGTTTTACGTACTTCATATAAAATAGAGCAACCAACCTGCCATGGACGGTCCCAATCCAGTGGAATAGGAAATGCTCCAAGCCAGGCTCCCACCACACTGCATATTGTGGTAATCTGGAGATTGTTATCCCAGATAGACATAGCCCTACAAAAGTAGAAGAAGGTTAATCTTTAAAACGGTGTGTTCGTTATTGCTTGATTTGTCCACTCACCATATGCAAAACTTTATTACTATTACTGTACTTCAAAATTAGATTTTAATATCCTCCGCGAGCTGCGCTGGTTACCTGTTGATCTCCGGGTGTGCTTCAAGGTGCTACTTACCATCCATAAATCTCTCCATGGTAGTGGATCTGAGTACTTGAGAGACCACCTCCTGCCGATTACCTCCCTTCGACCGATTAGATTGCACAGATTAGGCCTCCTCCGAGTTCCATCCGCCAGTCAGTGCCGACTGGCGACTATGCGGAGGAGAG